CCCCCCAACCTAGCGTACGGAAACGCTAGCCCAACCTAGCCGGGGGAAAAGGCCTCGGGTAATTTAGAAAAACCCCTTATTTATTTAAGAATACCTTAAAACCTATCTCCTAGCTTTAAGAATTATGGCCTAATAAATTTAACAGGAGCAATAGACGACGACAATTTAGTCAAAATGCCTAATATCTTAACATAATTTCGGGTAGACTTTACTTTACCGGTCCCCAGATCCGCAAGATCCGCGTGCTCATTGCACTATGACGTAAGACTTACGTCACTCAACTGATAAGGGTTGGTTTTGCACATTTTTCGACTGGTTAGGGTTAGTCTTGCACCCACCTGAAAGATTAGGGTTAGTCCTTCCATAAGTTTTCAACTGATTAGGGTTAGTCTCGCATCCATCCGAGAGATTAGGGTTAGTCCTCGCACATGGGTTAGTCTAGCATCCGCCTGGGAGATTTGGGTTAGTCCTCGCATACCATCTGAGAGATTAGGGTTAGTGTCTTGTTCTTTTAGATTAATTAAGAAATTCAGTTGCATCTGTATTTTTTGCAAGATCTTAATTCAGCTTCAACGACATCTCGTTGGTTTGTTTACATGAAAAAAATGGCTAAGTACAAAAGAAACGGCACTAAGCATGCGCCGCACGCGCTCCGTTCACAATTATTTTGTGTCTCCTTTTCACTGAATAAACAATAGTTATTACTTTTTTTCAGAGAACGAGGTTAAAAACTTCGTTTAAAAACGAAGTTTTAAACTAAAATTTTAACCGTAGAATTCGATTTTGGGGTCAAAAAGGCTTAAAACCTCATATTTTAAATTTTTTTCGATCGCTCACGCTATCTCATATATATTGAAGTCGCCTACGGCGACACTATATTTTAGCGCGTTTTTCTGGGGACCGGTAAAGTCAAGTCGTTCCATAATTTCTAAGGGTGCAACCTGTTAAATACCTAATAAACCTTTATTAAAGTGAGAGAACTTACAGCAAGTTCACGTGTACTGAAAATTAGTTCTCATTGAAAAAAAAAGTCCAGAGCCCAAATCCATAAAAAAAATATCAATCTTGAATGCAGTAAACAAACATTAAAATGCTCTAACTCTTTTAGTCAAAACACAGGTTGGAATTATGACATAATACAGTGAGCTTTTCTTAAGTACAGTTTGTATTTATTTTTTCCTCACCCAGCTTGGGGGTGGGGGGTGGGGGGGGGCGCACAACGTGTCTAACAGTTACACGGGTTTATATACTCTTTGGAAACAATAGAATCTTTAACTTGAAATCTAGTGAATACACCCCAAGGGTATGAACTTTGACTGAAATTAGTAACACCCAAAAGGTTAACTTCCGTATTGATAGCCAATGAGAATTTAGATCATCAAACATAAACATTTACCCGTAAGATTTGATGGAAGCAACACGTGCTATTATCTGAGAAGGTTTGTAAATATAAACAAAATAATATGGGGGATAAGGCAGTATACCAATATATGCATGAAAACATAAATAACGACATTACATTTAAAATACAAGGCATAAAGGCATATAACAAAATTCATTCCTGCTACACATTTGTCCGCTAAATTCTTCTGAGATTCCTGCACTTTAAATTGTTATACGATTTTCTACTGGAAATTTCCTTTGTTTATTCCCATCATGTTCATGTCATGGAGTTTGACAGACGAAATTCATTAGCGCTTGAATGCTTAGTATCGCTGGTTTAAATTTCGCCGGTTTCAAACGCTTAAGTGATTCATAAGAGTTATCTCCCTGTGATCGCAAACCTTACCTTAAATGGATTAGTATTTCTACTTTTACCTGTACGACTTAATATATAATTACCAATTGTAAATTGTCAGTGAAATAAATGTAAATTACCTGTGAACATTAATATTGATAAAGACTATTTCATTTATTTCCGTATACATGTATTTTAACACATGTCGAATATTCCACGTACGAGTGAATAGATCTACTACATAATGAACGATAACTCGTACTATGAACAATAACTCGTGTTCGCCTACCTGTACATTGTACCATCTAGCGTTAACCGTATTAAATAGTGTTTATAATGGATATTCGGAACTAGTAAAATGAGAACACGAAAATATTCCGATATCTTCCTGTGGTCAAATTATTTATTTTCGGCAAGCTTTTGGTATTTGTTAAAATACATATGAAACTTACTTTTGATAGTTGAATTGTTGTTTTATGTGAAAAATTGACGTCTTACATACGTTTTTCTGTAAACAAACGCGTCGCGGTGATTCAGATTTGTTGCACTGTAAAAGTATGTCGCCTATTTAAAGTACGATAGCGGACACACACTGACGGCAAAAAATCAAAACTTACATAATTCTAACACTCATAGATTAGCCTTCATACCATATGTATAAATTTATGCTTACACTTTTGAATTTATTAATCATCAGCTCTTAAATTATTAATTATTCGGAACTAGTCAAAATTCGGAAATGGTAAAATGATCTTGCTGTTCTGGTAATGTTTTTGAATTTCTGTATAAAAGCAAAAGGAAACATATGGTCCCGGAGCTAAGGTCCACAATTTAAAAAAAGATGACACCAAACAACTTTAAGCTGAATCTTAATTAATTTTAGAATGGCCCTGTCATTGTTCGAAGCTTTTTCAATTAATTTTTCCAATTACATGCATTATTATGTTGCTGTACAATGTTTGACCATGAGGAGTCATGATTTGAACAAATTTATCATGGTTTTGCTGTGATCTTCAGAAATTTAAGTAAAAACTAAAAAGGGCTCAGAAAAGTTCCAATATACTCCTATGTATTTCTTTGAAATTTAATTTATATGACTCATCCTGACCCTGTTGTTTTAGACAAGGATTTTGATGTTGTAAAGGTTTTCCTACATAGCAATTATATTAGTTTTTTTTTTTTTTTTAAATTTTCATTGCAAAACATATACCTTTCACTCCAACTCTCATACATGTATATATTTAAAAATGCTAATATTCACATTTTTGATGACTTTGCCTCTCAATAATAATAATATTTTCTCCCTGTTTATTTGTCACTCATGAAAAATTCATGACATCCTGGTATGACATCCTGGTAGTCTCTCTCTCTCTCTCTCTCTCTCTCTCTCTCTCTAAATATATATATCGTTCGCATATCAATTATGCCAGGAAACTATCTTAATTATGCTTGAGCTTACTTCTGTCTGTATGGACAACTTTCGGAGCCCGAGGAGAGCACAACTAGCTGCTGCCTACACATTTGTCAACAGATAAAAAAATCATCGGGCTTAATTATACTAATACAATGAACGATGTAGTTACCAGAAGAGAACAAATGGAAGATATCACCAGTTAATAAGGAAAAAAGACTTTACATGATAAAAATTTCACTTACAAAAAGAAACATTCATGTCAAAACACTTGCTGTAGCCTCTCAGATATATCGACAAAGTTTTATCGATGAACAATATTTACTTCCATTAAGCTGTTGCATCGATATATCCCAGTGAGCTTGAAATAAAAGACACCACAGAGTCTTCCACATCTAGACTATAGCTGATAAGGGCCAATTAACAACAAAATTGTACTAGAATGGCAAACTAAATGACTTCAGCTTTTCGATCGTCAACTTCCCTTTTTTTCCGCTATCACCTGCATATGGTGATTACGTCTCCCAACTTATTCGAACTCAAGAACATGCTGGCTATGACCAATTTTTTAAACGAGACAGGCTACTGACAAATAAATTGATTTTACAAGGATTTCAACTACCTCGTTTAAATTCAGCATTTCTTAAGATCTACGGTCGTCTACCTGATCAATACATTAGGCTCACCGTGGGTGTGGCCGTTCGACAGGGGGTGCTTACTTCTCCAAGGCACCTATTCCCACCTCTGGAATTTCATTTTGTCGTAAAATATAGTTGTTAGCTGGCCCTTATTGTCTATCGTCAGTAAAAGATCCAAGTATAAAACAGATGTGGCAGTTTTCTTTCTTACTCTTGTAAGTATAGTATGTTCTATGTTTTAATTCCCCTATGAACAACGTATAAAGGTACAAGTATATAAGTGTTACAAAAATTATACGAATAAAAAAATAAAAGGTCAAAATATTAAAAGCTATATATGGTGTATCTGAGCTAAAAAATAAAAAAATGTGAGATTGATGAACATGAAATTTGTTATTTAAGTTCAAATTAAAATTTTCACCGATTTTGAACTTGAATAACCCCATGTTTCTATAGTTAAATTGACTTTAAACTGTGTCTGCTATTTAAATGCGGAGTCGGTAAATAAATCGGTTATTGTTTTGAATTTCTAATATCTATAAAAATGCGATTGATTTAAATCGTTTAATTTACAGGAAAGTCCTATCTCTATATAGAGAAATAAAACAAATAGCAAGATCTTTTTAATTTTAGTTAGTCTGAACTTATCAAAAATGCGCCTTATATGACTTTTATTAAAACTATTGCTAAAAGAATTTATGTTAAATTCTCTTAAATTCTCTTAAATTCCGTAGTAACTTAACATCTCAAACATAATTTTTCTAAATAATAAATTCTTTAAGAGTAGAAAGGAAATACAACAATAAAAAGAAACCAATGTCAAGGTCATCCCCATTTACTTTGCCTTTAATGTAAAAACAAAAAAAAAAAAACAAAAAAACAAAAAAAAACAAAAAACAAAACAAAACAAAAACAACAACAACAACAACAACAAAAAAAAAAAAAAAAAAAAAAAAAACAAGAAAAGAACACGAGGAGGACGTGTAAGATATAGGTCCAACATTTTATTTTTAATCTTTCAACACTTGAATTATGATTAATTAATTTTTTTAATTGATCTATTTTTGTTTACTTTTAGAGAGGGAAGGTCTAATTTATGATGACAATTCGTTATTGTTATTATGAGGTCTTTTTAATACATAGTTGACACGAACTTGCATGACACCGTGACATATGAATAAAGCGTACGCCTTTCTTCTGTATAATTAATACAATGTTCTAAGGATTCATTATTTGGATTGCCTTGAAAACAACACAATATGTGTAATATTGTAAATTTTATTTTCCTTTTTCTTGCTTTCATCCGACCTGTACATTGTAAGCTTTGGTAAGTATGTGTCTTTAATTTTTCATATTCACTCAGGCAAATAGTTATTTTTAACTTTGAAAAGATTCTAAAATCATTAGTGCTATTGATTAATTTTTTGTCTAGCTTGAGATGAGGACAAAGTTATTTTTCATATCGACTGAGGAGACAACTGATAACTACTAGTATTTGCTGTTGATTTGATTTGTGATTTTGACACTGTACATCTCTAGTTGGAAGACATTTCTCTTTTTTTTAATTTACAGACAAGATATACAAGCTAACGCTTCTCAGGTGAAGCAAAAAAATGTTTTTAATTTACGTCATGATTTTAAACAAAATATTTTGTTCTTTCCGTTCCAAAACACTTATAACCAAATTAGAACACAATTTTACAGCCACTTTTATATCTCTGTTTGTCTTTTTTGAATATTTGGAAAATCTCCTTAGAATTAACGGTAAATAGCGGTCAAAGTGACATCATTTTGAAATATGTTAACTCATAACTCATGCCCATGCATACGAGTTAAGAATTGGCGGTAACAAATAACCCTGTTATAATTTCAATTATCATGTTGTTAATTAGGAATGTCTAACACGTCCATTTTCACTAATGGGATGTTAATCATTTTTCCACCGCCGCTTGTTTATCAGAAAGCGACAAGGTGCACCGAGGGACGTTATTAAAAATTTGAAACTGTTTTGTCAAACGAAAGTAAATGTCCCAATTCTTTAAAATTAATCTATTTGTGTGCAAAATTATAATATGATAATAGGTATGGTCACCATACACAAATAGTTTTATATAAATATTATTCTTTTCATTCTAAATACATCAGTTGGTAAGAACAGGTAAAATTTCAAAGGAATTGCCCATGAATGCAATAGCTACAAAATAGTTTAATTTTAAATTTTATGCAGAGCTGCATTTTTGTAAGACAAAAAACTTAAAGTCTGAACCTTTACGTCCTGCTTATGGATAACAAATCAAATAATATTTCCATAGCTTGATTTTGATTCAAAAGGATGATTTTTTTTTTTTTTTGGGGGGGGGGGGGGTTATCACAATACGATTTTCAGCACATTGTAAAAATGAAATTGTAGCAGCATAAGATTCCTTCATTTATAACGTCCAATCAGCTCGGTAGGGGGGGGGGGGGGTCTGTGGAGTACAAATTGCAAATGGCAAATTTCTGACGAAAAATCTTGAATTTTTTCAGGAGGGAAAAGGATGACTGCACTTAAGGACATGCGAAATTTGCGTCAAAATAAACTTTCAAAACAAGCATTTTTCTTTTCATTGCAAGAATGGTCAACATCCAACCTACAACTTTATGTAATTACGTTTAATAAAAGTGTGTATTTACGAAGTTCGAATCTGTTTTCAAAGGCAGGGGTCATCACTATTTCTTGAATCTCCGTTCGATAATGAGGACGCCCACTTTTTTACTGACATCATACATAGTCAGCGCATGTTTGTCTATTGTTCTACGTTTAACAGTAGTTGTATATTTACATAAATAATAATGTGTCAAGAGGAGATTAATAGACAAACATGCGCTCATGGTTAAAAAGAGAAAAAACTGCTTCTTCGTACATTCGCTCTCTGTGTTGTAACCAAGGGTTGTGACATGTTGAATATTATAATTCACCACGTGATTTCGTACCTCAGGTAACTTTGTGAATACTTAATTCCGTCACGTGACTTGTAAAGTAGCATGTGTTGTGCTAACTAGGACATTGTGTTCGAATAGTTAAGTCATCTGGCATTGATATAAAATCAGCTTTAATTACATTGACGTGCTGCTATTGTTAATTTCGTTTTGAAACATTTGTCGGTAGTGTATTTGTGCCATACAGAATGGAGAGGGAGATTGGAAAGAGTGATCGCGTTCTTTTTTTCAAACAAGTCATTGTTATTTATCAAGTCTAAATTTAGACCCATTCTTACAATGTTAGCTCCACCTCTCATGCATAGCGTATGTTCAATCAAGGGCAGGTAAGTGTAAATTCTCTATATTTGGAAAGCAGTAAGGACAAAAAACATTGAATCATTTTATTGTATTACAGTCTAAAATCATTTTAAGATTTAAATTTGGTTCCAAATTGACAGGATTCTTTCATAAACATACAAAAGTGAAACAAGGTTTAAATATAAAAGCAACAGAAGCAACCGAAAAAGACCCAAAAACCGGCGTTAAGTGCAGTCATCCTATAATCTCGTTCACAAGTGACCTGATTCTACTAAATGTCCAACAACACTTCATGCTATATTTCTTCCTTAATTTGTTTTCAGCGACGGCAGGTATTTCGACATTGTTGGCAGAGTTGTGTTCGGGGAAGCTCGAGGTGAACCAATGGCTGCCAAACTAGGGGTCGTGTACACGATGCTCAATAGGATGCGACACGAGGCTTACCCCAACAATCTATACTCCGTCATCTACGAGAGGATGACTACAGGAGTCTACATGTTCCAAACTCTGAATGATGCCAATCACACATTAGAGTGGCAACAAGCCAAAATCGGTAAATATCCGGAATACGAGGACGTGTTTCAGGCGACAGTAGACGCTTTGTGTCGGTATAAACCTGATCCTACCACATGTGCGACAAATTTCTGCTCCACTGACCCCTGTCCTGCCACGGAATCTAATCCTTGGTGGCTAGCAACGAATAAGATTCAATTAGGAAACCTATACTTTGTCTGAAGAGTGAGTGCTACGGCGTCTAGGCACTCTCGAGATCGAGGACGAGGTTAAACTGGTTCAAAATCTGGAGATTCTTGGTGAAAACCAATAAACTCAGAAATAGAGACGTTATCATGTATATTCCTTACATCATTTAATGCATTTTTGCATCTATGAAATCAAAATTAAATATATATTTTACTTAATTTCAAAACGTTGCTTTCTCTGCAAGAAGGAAAGAAAAAAGAAAGAAAGAAAAAAGAAAAACAGATAGATGGATAGATGGATGGAACGAGAGAAAGAGAGATTAAACATCCAAAAAGAGCATAATTTTAATTAATTCCTTTATTTGAAATGCGCAATAATGTTATAATAGCACAAGGAAGAAATGTAAATAATTATGTACTGAATTGGTACGTAATCTATGATAAAAAAAATGTATTCAATTTTTATTCCATGATAAAATTGCTGAAACCCGTATCCATCGATCAACCAGTTCCCATGAAAAGGTCCACAAACTCTGAAATGAAAATAATGTCTGAATATCAATTAACGTGTCGGGGTACATCGAAATGGTTCTATTTGAGTCCATTAGGAAAATTACGCAGAATGGACAAGTTCTTGGCAATATCAGATTTTCCCGTCTATCAATTTTTATTGTATTTGACTTTATATATCTACTTAATAAGAGTAATCGGGGTTAAACTATTAGTTTTTATTTATTTATTATAATTCATTACTGTTTTCTGTACATCCTTTAAGCTCAAGTATGAGTAGACTGTAAACAAAACACATACAATTTCCCAAGTACAGTATTTTTACATAAGCATTATTTTTAACCATCAAAGAAAGGCTACTTGCAACGTACCCTCCACTTGAATTTTGCCGTCGCCATTTGTATCCGCTATTTTAAAGAACTCTTCTTCTTCTTCCGGTGTAAATTCTTCCCCATATCTTCTCAGTGCTTTGGCAAGTTGTGCTTTGTTAAGATAACCATTGTTCTTAGTATCAAACTTTCTAAAGGCTTTTTCAAACTGTTTCCTCTCATGTTCCTTGGCCAACATTTTAGTTTTCATAGTTTCAAAGAATTCCTTATATCCCATATAACCATCGCCTAAAATACATAAATGATGGAACTAAAAGTCGTTAGTTCATATATAAGAAATTCTTATACCCCATATAGCCATCGCTTAATATATATAAATGGTTGAGCTTTAAGTAAGTCGTCAATTCATATACATGAATTCATTATACCCCAAAGCTGACCCGTGTTTATGTTCGTATGAAGCAGAATTTATTCAAAAACTTCTGCATGAGAAGAAGAAAGCACTTGCCGTGGTCTTCAACTCGACATTCAGATATATCGACGACGTTTTTTTCTAATTAACAATAGTTATTTCCATTTATATGTCGACTTAATTTATCCCAGTCAACTTGAAATAAGACACAAAGTCTGCCATATCTGCTTCATATTTGGATGTTTTACTGTAAAGATGACAAAGGTCAACTAACAACTAAACTGTATGACAAACGAGATGATTTCAACTTTTCCATCGTCAACTTTATTTATGTAGTAATTTTCCGCTATCACCTGCATATGGCGTTTATGTCTCCCAACTTATTCGCTATTGAAGTGCATGCTCTGAGTACGATAAGTTTTTAAACCGACGAAGGCTACTCACACATAAGTTGATGTTACATGGATATCAACATCCTCATTTAAAGTCAGCAATCCGTAAATTCTATGGTCGTTATAATGACCTTATAAGTAAATATCACCTATCACTAGGTCTTTTTTGGCTGACTTGTTCCCTACCAATTGTTAGACCAGTGTTTTTTTTTTTTTTGTTTGTTTGTTTTTTTGTTTTTTTTATCAAATTTGACTACGGAATAATCCGTCTATTCGGTCAATACATAGGGCTCACGGCGGGTGTGTCCGGACAACAGGGTATACTTACTCCTCCTAGGCACCTGATCCCACCCCTGGAATTTCCAGGGGTCCTTGTTTATGCCCTGTTCACAGATTTGTTTTGTTTGAAGTTTTTATGAGATCGATCACATTCGTTATCCTCACCCTTTTACATTCATACATAAATGATAGAACCAAAATATCATCAATTCAAATACATTTGACCATCGCCTAAAACATATAAAGATAGAACTGAAAGTCATCAATTCATATACACTTGGCCATCGCCTAAGTCATATAAGAGAAATACCGACATCTCCCTTACTTCCCGTATCTCGGCAGTTTTCCCGGGACCAGTTATTGCACCTATATATAGTTAAAAATCGGAACAATTAAGTATATGTGTATAATAAAACGGGTAGTGTTTTAACTACTTTGTAAATGATAATTTCTCCTGTCTTATTTTCTGTAATCACTTACAATGGAATTAAATAAGGACAATAGAAGAAAATACTATATAATACCTTAGACGGATTAGGAAACACGTTTGTTATGCGTCAGTGATTATACATGTATACATGCGATGTGTTCACTTGGGGGAAAAGTTACGTTTTATAGCATGAAAAAATCTAACCTCATACGCGTACCTGTATAAATCCGTGCAAAGACAACAAGTTACTAGGTGATGCGCATATATATAGTGCCTTGTATTAAAAGTGTACATTTATGTGTTTGTAAGAGAGAGAGAGAGAGAGAGAGAGAGAGAGAGAGAGAGAGAACAAATGACAATAAATAAGCATTATTTTCCAACGTTACAGAAATCAACCATTTAAAATCAGAAAATGGGTGTCGCTACTTCGGAAAATGTATTATTTTGAAAGTAAATGTTTGAGTTGGAGAGGTAGAGGGGGTCTAAGCTCAATTCATCGAATAAAATGTCCGTTTTCATTTCATTTGACTAAATACATGAAATACAAATTTCCATATACTACATTCCTTAAAAAAGTGAAATGAGGCAATACTTGCATGTGCAATAGGGCGGGAAACACCCCCCCCCCATATTGTATCTAGTGAAAGAAAAAGTAACTAATTCATAAAGTAGGAAGGGTAGGTCCTTATATATATATATAGGCCAGGTTTAATTTTTCGCAGAATATAGTATTTCGAACAAGTATTTCTAAGCCATTACGAGGAATTATCACCTCTGACAATATCGAATAGAATATTAATCAATAGCCATCCCTTAAGTGACATATATGAGAATGTTTTTGCAACTAAAACTCGTGCACATTTCATTCAAAATATTTATTTTTTACAAATCAAAATGCATTGCAAGTCAGCTGAATAGAAATTGACCTAAGTTACCCCTGTGCACATGAATGCTGTGTCGGTGAGTAAATTTCAGACACGTAGTGTCAGCCAAATTTTGTTACATGTACAATGTAATATGATAATGTATGAAGAAAATATTATGCTGAAAAAATGTTGGAACCCCCCCCCCCCCGCCACACATACACATGAAAGAGGACTTTAGTGTTTAAACAATTCCTTCCCCGTTTTTCTTTGTCAGATTTTTCGGGTAAGTTGAATTTTTCTTTTCTGCCCCCCCCCCCCGTCCTACTTTTAAAAACGCAAATAATATATATTTCTGGTTTGACTAATGAAAAATGATGCAATAAATCTGCAGCATTTACGATTTTTACCAGAGAGAATTTATGACTTTATTAAAAAAATGAAAAAGTATCAGTAGAAACTAACATATCATGCAATGAAAACTCGTCTGTTCGGTTCATATGCCTGTGTGTGTAGGCACATTTGAAGCAGGCCTTGACAACTCAGTGAAGATCGCCATTTGATACGTCATCCAAATAGATACTGTCTACCATATGAATGCTCGTTTATTTCTTTGTAGTGATATATATATATATATATATATATATATATATATAAGGACCTACCCTTCCTACTTTATGAATTAGTTACTTTTTCTTTCATTTTCTTTCACTAGATACAATATGGGGGGGGGGTGTTTCCCGCCCTATTGCACACATGCAAGTATTGCCTCATTTCACTTTTTTAAGGAATGTAGTATATGGAAATTTGTATTTCATGTATTTAGTCAAATGAAATGAAAACGGACATTTTATTCGATGAATTGAGCTTAGACCCCCTCTACCTCTCCAACTCAAACATTTACTTTCAAAATAATACATTTTCCGAAGTAGCGACACCCATTTTCTGATTTTAAATGGTTGATTTCTGTAACGTTGGAAAACAATGCTTATTTATTGTCATTTGTTCTCTCTCTCCTCTCTCTCTCTCTCTCTCTCTCTCTCTCTCTCTCTCTCTCTCTCTTACAAACATATAAATGTACACTTTTAATACAAGGCACTATATATATGCGCATCACCTAGTAACTTGTTGTCTTTGCACGGATTTATACAGGTAAGAGGGTTGTCCGTTAAGTTCGTGGACAAGCTAAAATTTAAATAAAAGTTGCGTCATAGATATTTATCATTAGTATATTTATAATCCTTTATTATGTGTGAGTTACAAAATGAAAAATTTTATTCAATTTTAAGTGTATAATTACAATCATGACTTCATTATTAGACTTGGGATGGTGACACGGAGCACAACAAAGTTTGAATTAAAAAGTTATTTATCACTTTATACATTTCATTTGTATTTTGTAAAATTCCGCGGAAATTTGGATGGCTTTTACATTAAAATGTTGACAAAAGTTATAATGTCAAACCTGTAAAATTTGAACGTTCAAAGTTTCGAAATGGCAGAGAAATCGAGGTCAGAGTTTATTAAGACAGGATCGTCATTGTTCGAAAAAGGGACGTTTAGGGAAAAGGTGGAGCAGAGAGTATTGATATAATTTTGTGTAGACATCGGAAAAACACCAACAGAGACCCATAAATTCCTTAAACAGTCGGGAAATCATGGTAAAGTAATCTATTCTTTAGTGCTAAAGTGGCACAGAAGATTTTCAGACGGAAGAGACGTTTACTGGATGACATGCGTGAAGGAAGACCATCTTTCCGAGATTGTAGTGCTGTCAAAAATGAAGTTCGTAACGTGACTTTGCCATATTTCCGTACATACAGTCGTTTTACGCGGACAGAGGTTTGATGATTTGCAGGATCTGAGACTGCTTAATATTATAATTTCACGTATGAAATTAAACCAGAACAGTTTGTGCACATTTTTGATGACTGGTTGAAGCGACATAAGAAATGTGTTGAGTTTAACGGTGACTACGTTGAGAAAACTTAAATGTATTTAGCTTTTGACGTCGAGTAACGTCAAGGATTTTCATTTTAGTGGTCCGGGTATGAGTATGTATCTTTTTTGTATCTGATAAAATATAATTATTTGTGCTTCGTTTGTGATTAAAACTTGCAAATTAATAAATTGAAACCTGAATTTAATGAAAATAATAATTTCATATATTTTATCAATGTTTGTCAGTAATTATCAATGTTGTCCACGAACTTTACGGACAACTCTCGTATGAGGTTAGATTTTTTCATGCTATAAAACGTAACTTTTCCCCCAAGTGAACACATCGCACACTAGTATATACATATAATCACTGACGCATAACAAACGTGTTTCCTAATCCGTCTAAGGTATTATATAGTATTTTCTTCTATTATCCTTATTTAATTCCATTGTAAGTGATTACAGAAAATTAGACAGGAGAAATTATCATTTACAAAGTAGTTAAAACACTACCCGTTTTATTATACACATATACTTAATTGTTCCGATTTTTAACTATATATAGGTGCAATAACTGGTCCCGGGAAAACTACCGAGATACGGGAAGTAAGGGCGAGCTACGTTCGTTCGTAAGATGTCGGTATTTCTCTAAAGAGAGCTGTAAAGTCTTACCATTCTTGTCCGTTTCCGACATCCATGAATTGACTTCTTCTCGAGTTGGACTGATACCCAGTAGCTGTGCCCCTCTTAAAATTTCCCCAGCACTCAGTTTGTTATCCCCATTCGTGTCGATAGATCTGTAAACTCTGCGTATTTCTAGATGATGCATAAAGGAAGAATAAAACAGAATATTCGTTTATTGCTAGCTATATCAGAGTCTTTTTTAATTATGTTTTGTTTTTCTTTTGATGAGCTTGATTACTGTTAGTTATCTTCAGATTTCATTTTAAATATTATTTTTTTATCATTTGAAGATAGTAACGGAGTTTGTTTTAATCATCGATCTTTTTCCTGTTTCGTGATGATATCACAAAATATAATAATAAAAAAAAAAAAAAAAAAAAATAGACAGTGTAGTAATTCGATGGAATAAAAGATACAGTTACTTCAAAATAATTTCTTCAATATGCAAATAAAAAAAACATTTTTAGCTATTTGTTCACTTTTTAGCTCACCTGAGCTGAAAGCTCAAGTGAGCTTTTCTGATCACATTTTGTCTGTAGTCCGTCTGTCTGTCTGTCTGTCTGTCCGTCTGTCCGTCTGTCCGTCCGTCTGTAAACTTTTCACATTTCCATCTTCTTCTCCAGAACCACTGGGCCAATTTCAACCAAACTTGCCACAAAGCATCATTGGGTAAAGAGGATTCAAATTTGTTCAAATTAAGGGCCACGCCCTTTTCCAAGGGGAGATAATAAAGAATTAGTGAAAAATTGATGATATCTTTTAAAAATCTTCTTCTCAAGAACCACTGGACAAGAAAACATAAAACTTATGTGGAATCATCTTCAGGTAGTGTAGATTTAATTTTGTTCAAATCATGACCCCCGAGATTAAGGCGGGCCCACAATGGACCATCAAAGTTTTACATAAGAATATATAGGAAAAAAATCTTTAAAAATCTTATTCTCAAAAACAGCAAAGCTATGATTAGTCATATTGATACGGAAGCATCATCAGGTGTTGTAGATTGAAATTTGTTCAAATCATGACCCCTGGGGATAGGGTGGGGCCACGTTGGGCATCAAAGTTTTACATAGGACATAAAGGGGGAAAACTTTTAAAATCTTCCTCTGCTGAACAGTAGCATTATTATGAGTTTTACTATATGTGGAACCATCCTCAGCCAGTGTAGATTTAAGTTTGTTCAATTTATGGCCCCAGGGTTAGGGTTGGGCCACAATAATGAATAATAATTAAATGAATTAAAGCTTTACATAGGAATAATTTTTAACTTTAGGCCACAAAAAATGCTTAAAAAAACAAGTAAATATGACATTGATTGATGTCTTCTTAATTAATGTATTTGAAAAAAAAAAGAACGATAAATTAATCCGTAAGTTACAAATATATTAATATATATATGAAGAATATTATATTTGGATCGGGTTCGATATTTCGAATATGAAAACGAGGTTCTTTGTTACACGCCATATTGAAGAAAAACAAAGGAGTTAATTTGCCATATATATTGTCTACTTAAGTTGGGTTTAATAGAGTTGATTTCACAAGGTAATGTTATCCGATTATTGATGAAAGAAAAATGCACTGTCTGTTCTTTTAATTCTTTTACGAGATAATCATGGAGAGGAAGTAGATATTACCGAGCTCGGATTCAGACTACGCAAAAGTACGTAATGATCTGGGACGGAAAGAAAATCTGAAATCGATGGGAATAAAATTAAAATATTGCAGTTGAATAAAATATAGATATTTTTCTTTTTTATTTCATAAATTTTTCGATGTAGTTTTAGAAACAGTTTTTCAGCCAATCGAAATCCAGACAATAATATGCTGACGGAGAGAGGTGCAGATACACAGCGTGAGCGTGTAAAACGCGTTTACAGAGATAAATTTAAGAAAGTGTTTTCAGAGATAAAACAAAGACAGACATGCCATACATTGTTTTCTAGATAAATTTTCACATGAGAGAATGGGTTTACTACTGTGTTTTCTTCGAAAGCATCTGGAAGGGTGGATATTGTATTTATTTTGGAGTTAGACTATACTGTTTTTGCATACTCTGGGGTCAACAAAATATTATAGAAACAAGTGCCTCTAATAGTACCTAGTTGTAGTGAGTTAGGTTTATTTTTCAAAGTTCATCTGTGGAGATGTAGCTAAGTAATGTACAAATTATGCCTGGGAATACACATGAATGGCATGGCCTGTCAAGGAAACATGAAATGTATTTGTCTTGCTTGTCTATACTGAAGTAAAAGTGGAGACAAGGAATTTAAGATTTTTTTCAGTTTTGGAATGCAGCAGTTGTTGTACAGCAAACCTATCCCCTTAAAGAAGGAGAGGTTTATATGCTTTAATTTGCAAAACAGTAGTTTCAGAATATGATGCTTGTGCAGGGATTAATCTAGGTTTTTTGGGGAAACTACCCTTTCTGAAGAAACTGGGAAAATCAGCCGGGGGTCTGGGGGGCCCAATTGAATTTCAGCATTTTAATGACCATTTAGAGTGCATAAAATAGCAAAGTAAAACCATATTTCCCATTTTAGAAAAAAGTTTACTTCAAATTTCCAGTTCTTATGAAGGGAAAAAAATCATTAGAGCTTTTTATTATTGTAAGGGAAATTTTTTACTCAACAAAAGGGGAAAAAGGGATATTCAGGGGAAAATTTCTCTTGGGGAAAAATACCTAACATCGGTAATAAATATGCCCTAGATTAATCCCTGTTGTGAAACTCTCAGTTTAATAAAGAAGATGAATAAACTTAAAAGTGTTTTGTGTGTTTTTTTTTTAAAATTTGCATTTTAGATAATGTTTAAACACAATTGCATGCATGTTTAAAGAAAGTTTAAGCCTGCTGAAATCAGGCATCCAGTGTCCTTTACACACTCCAATATGGAGTACAGTGTGCACAAAACACTAGCACAATGCCCAAAAACGAGTAAAAATTTGGTTGAGCAGGGCTAGTAGAATGCAGGTCAGCAATAGACCGATTGGACTAGTATAATTTTCAATTGCATTTATCTATTACCTTCCCAGTATTTTAAATGATTGTCAAAAAAAAGATTTTTATGCCCCCGGATCGAAAGATCCCTGGAGTATATTGTTTTTGTCCTGTCTGTCTGTCTGTTGTCAACTTTAACCTTGCCCATGACTTTTGATTGGTTGGAGCTATGACTTTCACATTTCACATGTGTATTCATCATATTTGACCTTGACCTTGGAGTTTGACCCACTTTTGCAAAATTTTATGAAACTTTAACCTTGGCCATAACTTCTGAACAGTTGGTGCTTGGGGGTTTCAAACTTCACATGTGTATTCTTTGTGACAAGGTCTTCCTTTGGGTACAAACAACTTTGACCTTGACCTTGGAGTTTGACCTACTTTTGAAAAACTTTTACCTTGGCCATAACTTTTGAACAGTTGGTGCATGGGGTTTCAAACTTCACATGTGTATTCCTTGTGACAAGACCTTCCTCTGGGTATCAACCTCTTTGATTCTTTGACCTTGACCTAGGAGTTTGACCTACTTTTGAAAAACTTTAACCTTGGCCATAACTTCTGAATTGTTCGAGCTAGGGCTTTCATACTTCACATATATAATCCCTGTGACAAGACCTTCCTTTGGATACCAACCACTTTGACCTTGACCTTGACATTTTACTTTTTTAAAACTTTAACAGTCGCCATAACTTTTGAACTGTTGCAGCTAGGGCTTTCAAATTTCACAGGTATATTCCTTGAGACAAGACTTTTCTTTGGGTACCAACATTTTTTATGTTTTGGCCTGGATTTTGACTTGCATTTGAGAAACTTTAACCTTTGCCATAAGCTGCCATACGGGGGCATCAGTGTTTCGCAAACACTTCTTATTTTCCTTATTGAAATTTTTGACTTCTATCTTTGTGTCCTTATTTTTTTATTTACAATCTCCATATGGTGAACTATTATTACAGTGTGATAGATATTTTATATTAAAAGAGAATCTTCATGTACACAATTTAAAAAATAAGCAGTCAAATCTTTATATCCATATTGGCATTTTTTATTTGCTTCACTACATACATTTAATGATTCTGCAAATCCGGGGAAGGGGGAGGGGGTTCGACCCCCCAATCTGACAATCTTTCTCTTTTTTCCTTAAGTGGGGGACACAAAGAACTGCGAACGATAGTATTGTTCTCCCGCCTACCTCCAAGTCAATTTTCAAAAGTTAACACATATGAATGATTTTTCATATCTATATAGGTATTAATATGAATTAGCATAAAACATTACTTCTTTGGGAAAAAAAGAGAGATAACTCTATAATTTTGATGAAAGTTGTGTTTTTCACCATAGAAATCAACGGAAAACGGAAAATATTTTTAAAACATCCCCCCTGGTATTAAAATTATCAGTCAATTACCATTGAACCCTTCCTTGCATTCAACACAGATTTTATGGCCAAATTGCCATTAGTGTTGAATTAAATGGGTGTAAAATGTAGGTGGGAATCGAGAGTTAGCGTGCGTAGTTCTTCTCTGAATTAGCTTGTTAGAGATTTGATTAAGCATCGAATGAAGGTGGGTGACCCCTATTAAAGAGGCCTGAGCATAGTTGCATTGTTTACAATTTTAAATGTCTATTTTCATTCAAAAAATAACTTCAGTTTAATGATGAATATTTTAAGAATTAAATAACAACAACATTCTTAATCACTTGTGTTTGTAAACGGGAAAGGAGCTCTATGCTCTAGCAACATATATATCATGAGATTATTTAGAAAATATAAGATTCAAGTCTGTTTTCCAGCCCCTTTAATTTTTGGGTCTGAAAGGGTCATTTGTTAAACACTGCAATATAGAAAAATTATGGCTCTTTACTTGAGATATCAAGAATTTATACAGAGACTCTCTGTCAATGACAGATCTAGAAAAAGTAAGTTTTCATTTAAAAGAAAATTGCACTATGTTTTCATGTATTCATAGAGTTCTCTCTCTCTCTCTCTGTCTCTCTCTCTCTCCATTGCTATAAATGATGATGACCCTAGTGACATTTTTGGAACAACTTGGTACACTGTTTCTCCTTATGAATTGAGTAGATGACCCCTGTTAATTTTATGGTTAAAAGGTATAGGAAGAATTGTCAGCTTAG